AGGCGGGGGACGAGGGAGGGTCTCGGCGCCCGCGCCCCTCCGCGGGGCGGGGAGGCGGGAGTGGAGACCCCTGCCCGGGGAGCCCGAGCGCCCAGGGGGGCTCAGGGGAGCCGCGAGAACACACGTCCGGCCCCGGTACTCACAGCAGCCGAGCACAGTCCCCTGCCGGCTCCTCAGCACAGGCTCAGCGTGTGCCGCCTGCAGCCCAGCCCGGCCCCGGCGCTCCTGTGACGCGGCGAAGGAGGAGCTGCACCTCAGCTGGGGCGGAGCGCAGTCCCAGCAGCCCGGAGCTGCCCAGGAGCCGGCGCGAGTCCCCCCCCCGCTGCAGCCGCAGCAGCAGCAGCAGGGCGGGCGGGCGTTGCTGCTGGGCTGGGCTGGGGGCTTCGAGCTTGTCCCTGGGCGACCAGTGGCAGTGCCCTTTGCAGGTCGGAGCCTGGATGATAAGCAGGGATCCTGGTTTTCTCTGATATAAAAAATAAATACAAATCCCAATTTTCGGATTAAAAAAAGTAACCCCAAATCCACATTTTTTCCGTGGTCAAAATGAAACTCTGCTAATATATACCTATATATATAGATAGAAATGGCACTATCTACACAGACAGACAGACAGATAGTGCTCTAGCTATCTATCCTGTATGTTTAAAAAAAGTAAACCCGAATCCACATACAGGTTTCCCTCACTTTATGCAGGCCCTGTGCTTGTGTTGGCAAGTACCAAAATTGTCTTGTAAAAGTAGTAGAAATGGGTCTGGGGATCAGTACAGTCAAGGTCTTTGTTACATTGTAAAGTAGGTTCCCTTTATGCAAATTCAAGTTATACAGTGTTTTCCACAGCATAAAGTGAGGGAAACCTGTGTGTGTGTGTAGCATTCTTCTTTTCCTTAGCATTTTTCTGGATCATTTGCTTTTTCTAAGAAGTACTGAGGCATGGTACGAATGTGCTCCCTCTCCAGTGGCTTCTTAATAAATTTCTTCTTTTGTTTGCTTTGCAGTTTACAGAACTGTTTTATATAGTCTGGCACGGGACAGCCAGCCCGCTGAATAACACTAACTACACTTCGTAATAAAGGCTTGTCATCTTCAGTAAAGAAAGTGAGTGCTTTTCCACACACGCACACGCACACGCACACACACACACACACAGCTACTCCTCACTTAACATCGTAATTATGTTCTTGAAAAATGTGACTTTAAGCTAAACAATGTTAAGCAAATCCAGTTATGTCACAGCACTTACCTACTAGCAGGCGGCAGCCAAACGACATTATAACCAAACATTGCACGACTTTAAACAAGTATGTTCTCTGATAGTTCAGCAACATTATGACGAAGCAACCTTAACCAAGAAGACATTAAGTGAGGAGTACCTCTGTGTGTGTGTGTGTGTGTGTGTGTGTGTGTGTGTATTTGGGGTTATTTTTTTAGCTGAAAATTAGGGGGGGGGGTTATTAGAGAAAATCAGGATCCCCGATGATAAGGCTGCATGATGGGCCAGGAGACAGTAGAAGAGGTGAAGGCCCTGCATCTGGGGTGCAGAACTCCTCACCTGGAACTGAGTCTCAATCGGGGTGCCGCGAGCTCCTGTTAGCAGTGCTGTGGGGTGCCGCATACAAGAAGCAATGCTAGGCCTGCAAACGCCTACACACCATTCACAAGACGAACCCAGCAATTTCCAATAGGAATCACAGAAGTCATAAAGAAGTTGGGCTGGAAAGGACCTTTACAAAGGTTACATCTAGTCCACCCCCCGCATCATCCCTATCCAAACCATCCTCTACAGTCCATTTTGGCTCAGATCAAGTGTCTTGGTGATTTGTGGGCTAAAATCAGGGCCAGATTAATGCATAGACAAACTAGGCACATGCCTAGGGCCCTGAGGTGCCCAGTGTCTCGGTCCTTCTCTCCATGGCAGCAGTACCCCCTGGGCAGGTGGCTAGCAGGCCAGGGGCTGCCCGGGCTTGGAGGCAGCACCTGGCTCAGTCCAACACTTACCCAGCCTACCAGTGTGTGTGTGGATTTAGAGAAAGAGAGAGAGAGAGAGAGAAGGGGCCATGGGTGACTGGTGCCTCTTGAGTCAGCAGCCGGGAGGGTGGGGCGGTCCCCTGGTGGCCGATCTCACTGGCTGGGGGGGAGGGGTCCCGCAGCAGATCTCACTCACCAAAAATCAGCCGCGCTGCTTCTGGAAGTTCTGCGGCCACTTCTGGAAGTGGCATGGCTGCTTTTGCTGGCAGCCCTGCTCCCTGGCCAACGCTTACAGGGGGGGCACTGGTGTTCCCGCCTGCCCCCCTGCCCACTGGCTAAACAGAGCGTGGCCTGACAAGGGCTGCACCGGTGCTCTCAGGGGGTGCATGTGCACTCCTGTGCACCCTCTACATGTCACCACTGGTAGGGGCCCAGAAGTTTGTTTGCCTAGGGCTCACTAAAGGGTTAATCCAGTTCTGGCTAAGATCAAATAGGGGCATCTGAATCCCAAGACCTCTGGGCTTGGGCCTTCAGTAGGGTGCCTGCCAATGGATTTGGGAGTATTTGAAGTAAGGGTGAGAGCCTGAGACAGAGGATGCTTGCCAGTTGTACTGCCATACATGGTGTTTAAAACAACTGAGTTCTGCCTGCCCAGTCGATATGGTTTTTGGAACAATTGAGTTCTACTCAATCAATATGATTTAAAACTGATTTGGCTGATTCAACCTGGAACACAAAATATATTAATAATAAAAAGGTCCTATCCAATCCATCATTTAAACTGTACATAAAAGTGTCACCAACCCTGAGACAAGACATAATGCCCTAACCTGCCACAGGAAAACAGGGGGGCCACAGCAGCCAATGTCCTGGTTCTATAAAAAGGTGGTTAATCTACACTCAAAAGATCCAGGGACACAAGCCCTCCCCGCTACATAGGAAGGCAAAACCCCTCACAATCCATACCAATCTGACTGTGGGGTAAAATTCCTTCCTGACCCCAAATATGGTGATTGGTCTGACCCTGAGCAGAGGGGGAAAACTCTCTAGCCAGGAACCTCTGGCTTTGGTCCCAGAAGGAGCATTGGCACACCCCAAGCTGAAAAACACCCAGGACGGCTTAAAAACACCCACAATGTCAACAACATGCTGACCTGCTGTGGTCTTTCAGGGTTCTTCGCAACAGAAGATCTACTCTGTTAATTTTCTATAGTCAAATAATGAGCGACAGCTAGGACCTGGCATTTCCAAAGGGTGCCTTGAGTCTAGAACCACTACAGGAACCTTGCTGCCTAAATGCCTGTTTTTCCCCTCCACACTGGTACAGCACGTGTTTCGAAAGGTTCAGCACAGCTAAGATGAATGCTAGGCTATGGGGCTCAGCATTCTCTGCTGGAGAATTTATACACTCTGCAGTCCCAGTCTTGTCAGTTCTGGGATGAAAGTCCAGCATACCTTTTCCTAAGAACTTAGTTGCAAAATGGCCACATCTGCATGCGATAAAATAGACATCACCTGTGTTATAGTCCTGGAGGGTTTGTGACTGTTTTGTCAAGAAGGGGCTGTGAAGTAAATTTCTCCTTCTAGAGGGATTTGGGGTAATTATAAACTTAGGTAATAGGACCCACACACTACAGGGATGGGCAATTTATAAATAAGTAGTCCACACTGATTTTGCAAAACATACCGAAGGAGCTTAATTTTATTCCCATGAGTAGCCCCATCAAAACCAATGAAACTAGTACCAGGGTCTTAAAGACGTAAATCTTTGAAGACCAGAGTTTTAGGCAAATGTCTGGCTTTACTCAGGATCAGGTCCTAATAAATAAAAACAGGGTTGACTCAGTTTCAGTCATCCCTGTGGATCCTTTTGAATATGTATTGCAGGAATAGTGGTAGAAATAGTGACTCTTAATTTCATACCATTTATCATACCTATCTATGTAGCTTGGGGGGGAAAGGGGGGTAGAGAAATTACACCCTTTCCTTGCATAGCTTTGCCAGCCAGTGTAAATACAGTTATACAGACAAAAATGTCCTTTTGCTGGGATAGATCATTTCATTGGGGAGCCATGTCTTCACTAGATGAGCCTGCCAATCTTCCAGTAAACCCTGTCTAAACCAGGTCTACTCTACAAATGTTTCCTGGCATAGCCTGTTGGCTGCAGAGATAAAAAGGTGTAATTTGTGACCAGTACAGAAGCCCCTAGTATAGACACAGTTACACAGGCAAAACTCTGCTTTTGCCAGTATATCTTATTTCAATTGCAGAGCGGAGCAGGTATAAGCTACATTAGTAGAAGCATGGCATTGCAAATATAAGTGACATCCATATGTCATGTGAGAAGCACCTTGCTAGTATACTTGTGTAAGTTTTTAGTATAGTCCCAACCTACTACACTTCTAAGTGCCAAAATGTTCGTGTATTTATATAGGTTAGAGTGTGATTATTTTCTTTAACCAACATAGGTATGCTAGTAAATGTCATAGTGGGACATAGCTATACCTGAGTAGGGGTGACTTATAGCAGGGGTGGCCAAACTGCAGCATGGGTGCTACAAAGGACACAGGCAACCTCTGTGTGTGGAAGGCAGGAGATTAGGGAGGAGACAGGCAGCACAGTGAGAGATATGGCAGGGAGCAGGAAGCAGAGCATCAGGTAAGGTAGGGGACTTATAGTACCTCATATTGAAACAACTGCATTTACCTTACAAGTGTTTTATAAAGCAGTGATGGGGGCAGCAGCCACTTGATATGAGGATGACAGTCTTCCAGGGAATAGGGAAGTCATGGGTGAGTCTGGAGATGACTGAGAAGGCCAATCTGAGACCTGCATGTCCTACTGCAGACATGGAAAATAGTTCTGGGAGGAAGATGTAGATCCTGATGATGTCAGGTCACAGCCCCTTCCCTTTGTCTCTCTTATCTATCCCCCCCCATAGTGAACTAATGCTTTGTTGTACATCATCACTGGGGATGACTCAGTGCTTGAGTCTCCCAGGCATTTCTTTAGATTGGCTTTCAAGATCTACTTAAATCTCTTCTTTTGCCCACCTCTGGGGTGGTGAGCATCAGTGAGTTGGGAGCCTGGGACCACTTAGGAGCTGGTTGTCAGGCATGATTATGACATGTCTTATCCAACGGAGCTGATGCCATATAAACATGGCTTTTTTGCTGGTGGTGTTTGCTTGAGCCAGAATGCTGGTGTTTCTTCTCTCCTTCCAGTTGACAGAAGATTTTCTGAAGACATTGCTGATGGTAACATTCCAAAGCTTTCAGGTGTTTCTGATGTCATCCAAATTTCACATTCATACAGGGGGTAGGAATGGCAATAGCTTGGTAGACAAGACGTTTGTTTCGGGTCCTGATGTCATGATTATCAAAGACATGATTTTGGAGATGTCCAAAGACAGCACTGGCAGATTTTATCCAGTGTTGAATATCACCATCTTTATTTATTTTTTGGGAAAAATGGCTACCCAAGTTGTGGAAATCATA